TGTGCATGTATGCATCACGGTGGTGCTGGTACTACTGCTATGGGGTTGGACTGTGGCCTGCCTACTACTGTAGTAGCCTTCTTTGGAGACCAACCTCTGTGGGGTGAGTAGTGTGGGAGAATATGTACGTGTTGGTGACAATATGAAAATTATTGATTTTTGTACGTAAACGTGTATAATTAGTAAGAAAATTCCTGAGCTCAGCTGAGGGGAGCGAATATATATTCCAAGTCGTACATGTAGTAGTGAATGACACATGATGAACTACAGTATAGGACTGAAAAAGCATCTTCTCAACGTTTGCTGGGTTGATGACAGTTTATGTCTTTCTGGAAGGAAATTATAATAACCTTGATTATGAGTTATTGGAGTTTCACCGTTGATATGGAAAAAATATTTTGTATATCACTTTGCGAAAAAACTAGTTACGAGCCAGTATTGCCTCCTTCCCCCTAGGGTATTACACTAATTCGCGTAAAACGGGTGAACCCCCGCTATATGAAAATATGCACATGTGTTGGTGACAATATGAAAATTGTGAGAAAATTTCGTGAAGTTGTTATTGGATTTTGTATGTAAATGTGTATAACTAGTGAGGAAACTCCTACTGAGCGATTCACTCGAATTGGATTCGCATCTAGGTGGACTGGTGGACGTGCGTGGCGCTGGCAAGATGGTATTGGCCAGGCGTGTCACCAACGATAACATGCTCACTGCGATGCGGTATTGTCTATCGGCCGAGGCGAAAACGGCAGCTGAGGAGTTGAAGGAGGGACTGGCGGTAGGGATGGAAAGGGTGTTTATGGTGGCAGCTAATTTGATGTTGGGTTTTGGGTATTTGTGTAGCATACATCGGCTCGGCCGACTCGGCTCGCAAAGGATGTGGTAGCTTTTATGGGCTTTTCAGGAGAAAAAATAAACTGCGATAATGTCGAGTTTTTTAAAGTGTGTTGAAATTGTTTTATTCGGAAGTATTGAAGTAGAACCGTAACAGAATGGACGAGATTCCTGAGTTATTTGTACATACGTTAAAATGAAAAAGTAAGTATAGTATAAGTGTAGTACAAGTAAAATGAAAAATAAACGAATGAAAAAATATGAGTAAAATTGAAAAACATGAGTAAAATTCAATTAGGGAATTTAAAAGGGTGAATTTGTTGGTATTTCAAAAAACCGTAGGGGTTCCTTTCTTCCACTAACTGCTAGTTTTGGAAAAGTTGGTAGAGTCTCACATTAATGAGGTTATCGTTCTTCAGGAGGAACGGAAGACGGGTCAAGGAGCCCGGGCGGGCGCTGAAGCATTTGAGCATCAATTGCCGTTAGAGTTGGTCACCTGTGAGGTCTGTGCGATGAGGGGTCGGCATGATGATGAGGGCAGAGATGTGAGGCCAAGGGCTGCGGAGTTGAGGGAGGTTAATAGAGATCTACGCATATGTAAGCTGGAGGTCCCTGGTTCGAATCCTGGTGACGTCATTTTTATGGACACTTCTTGTGGAGGGTGCTTTTGGCATGAAACATTGGTAAAGCTGTAGGGGGGTTTAGGGCGTGCGCTTTCTGTAGTAGTACGCAACCGCATGACTTTGAGCTTGATCACTTCGAGGTAGTTATAGTTCATTTGTCACTAACTGTAGCCATCTTGGCTCAAGCTTCTTGTTTTCTCTACTGTGTCGCTAGTGTTGGCGTGGGTTCGATCCCGGCAAGTGTACTTTCTCTCGACCAGTGTAGGAATATATTATGCGCATGATCAACTACGTGTTGGTAAAAATATGGAAATTTTGAGAATTTTTATGGGAAATTATCGTTGGTTTGTGTATACTTTTATCCGAAATCGCGTGTGGATTTTCATACTGGAATGAGGAAACTCATGAGCTCAGTTGAGGAAACCAAATATATATTTTGATGCTGTTCTTGACAGGCCCGGTGTGCGCCTTGCTGATGCAAAGCGCTGGGGAGAATCTCTGCCTTGAACCGCTTCGAACAGCTGATTGGGCTCGGACGAGAGGAGGAATCTTATATGTTCACTTCGTAAGATACGGATTAGGTACGATTGAGTAACTTGTGTTGTGATGAAGATACGATGGTTGAAGTCGTTCGTGAAGTTATTCCGTCGTATGGTCCAGGGTGGACAAGAGGGTGGTGTGTATGGATTCCTGATTGGTGAGTTGGGGAGTTTGCGAGTGAGTAAGAATCATAGTTGAAGTGATTGGAGGCACCATCACACAATTTGCGATACGCCAGAACACATAATAGGTTGACCAGTGGGTTCGAGATCGGCTCGGGAATTTTGTCATCGTGTGTATACTACTCTCCTTTCACTGGGAAAAGGGGAGAATTGAGAGCTTTGGGAGGAGAAATGTCGAGTGTGGGATTCGAACGGGAGGTTGAAGGATAGGGGGCATTCTGTTGCTCGGCTCTTATGCTGTGATGAAGTGTATTCTGTTGACATAAAATAATGGATGGCTATCATTACTCCGTATTTTTCATACCACTCCTTTTTTAACTGTCTTCTGTCATTCAGGTGTTGTAGTGGGGATTCTCGAGTTCCTATTATTCATTGTAGTGGCCCCTCTCATTTTCATAAGAGATCTCTTCAGAGTAGCTACACAGTTGGTGGTCCCAGCCAGTGAGTTGATGATCAGTGCTTCGCTCCGCCATTTTTCGATTTTCTGTTGCAGATGGTAAAGCCCATTGCGGATACAAAATCGATCCGTCGATCGATTTCCTGAAGGATATGGTAGGACTTCGCTGCTGCAATCTATTTTTTCTACTGAGGTTCCTTGAGGTTCTTGTATTGAACCCGTCACACGGTGTCGCAGCGGTGAAGGTGTTTACTCTGACGGAGGATGACTATATCTTTTCGAATGAGGAGATGAAGAAACTGGAGAGGGTTACATTGCTGGCGGTTGAGAAAGTGCTGAAAAGGTAAGCCTGGGGATCGAGCCTGGGACCTCGGGGATTGCAGTCAAAAGTATTGTTGATTCTGTGATGTACAGAGAGAAGAACTTACTTGTCTGGGTTGGGGTATTAATCGAGATGTGAAGTGTGGGGATGGAACCGGGGACCTCTCTGTTCTTAGGCGTAAAGAAGAGGCGGCTCTACCTGAGAGTGTCTGCTCACTTATCGAGATGAGAGGTGTTGGCATGCAACTAACAGCCGACCCGACAGCTAAAGACGCAGCAGAGATATCCCGTGGTTCGCTCAAGAATGATGGGCAAGCTGTCGATGTATTAGCGAACGACTCCGCATATGACGACAAGAGCATCTCTAGTGGTGGAGGAGTTTAGGTGGGTCATACTGTCTCGTGTCACCATCGTATGCGTATAGGAGCGACCTCGATCAGTGTGGTTGGAAAAAGAACAGGTGCTGGTTTCTGTGGTTGTCGCATCATTACGCTGTCGACTGAATTTCACGTTACTAACTTGAGTCAGATTTTAACTAATATTCGGCTTCTCATCAGCGGCTTGAGGTGAAGTTTATTTTTGGACGCTACTCTGCTCCTCCCCACAGGTTATTCCCTCGCGGGAAGTTCACGAATTACTCCCGTGTCGAGGATTAGATCCTAATCATTAGGAAATGCTCAATGTGAATTAATGGATTATCTGTATTATTTGAACTCCTATCTTATCGTTCTTGTACTTCTTGTTGTTGCATTTAACACTGTCGTCAAGTTGCTGTACCAAAGTTGACCATTCTCATTCATTCCTTTCACTCTGTCCTGTGTGACCGACACATATCTTTCTCCTCTTTGACCACCTTATACTAAAGTCTTCGAGTGACTGTAATTGAGTTGATGTACCTGAGAGTGCGACGCAATGGCATGCGAATCCAGTCGCCGTGAGGCGTAGGAAATACTGATGGAATAATTTCAAGGAACAACGGCGTCTCCGCATGGTAAATCACCCTTATCACGTTGCGCTACCAAACATTACGATTATACTCTGTCGAGTTGGCATGGATGACCGATGAACACCATTGGTAGACATCCAAAAGTCATTTGACTGGTAGGTTGCTGATGGATCAATTTCAGTACTGTCAACATCGCATCCAGCACGGTGTGATGCAGAGCCGCGACTTCATCCAAGTGTAGCATATTCAGCCCAGACATTTCAGCGACCAGCATTAATTCTTCGCAGTGCGCTTCCCGAGATTTTCACATCAATCGCCCATCCTGGCTTCCCTCAATCCAGAGGGAATCAATAGAGTCTGCATAGGAATTTCGAGTGATTCCTTCAACAGAGGCCGGATTGGATACTCGTATCATACAAGTTGTATGCTCATGATGGATACTCTAAATGTGAAAACTACATGGAAATCCGTACTCTG